TATATTTGAGACTACACCATAACGCAATTGTACAATTTGAATGTGTAAATACACCATTATAAATGTATTATAGCTACGTATATATATATATATATATATATTTATATATATATCTATTTCTTTATTTAGTTTTGCCTGCGTATGGTATTTGATCAAATTTATTTTATAACCTTTACACAGGCTGATTAACTACTGTTTACATGACGTCATTTCCCCCAACGATTTAGCAGCGATATACCCATCCTATTTTATAAATTTTATTTGATGTTTTTTAATTAGTCAGGTCACAATCATCATCATCATCGATATCACAATGAATCAAATTGAGAGTTTTTTAAATTTTTGAAAAAGTATCTTTATTCATTTTACGATACTACTTTGTTCAATAAGATACTGTTTGACTATCATGCAAATAAATTACATAAATTTTATTATTACCATATAAAATGGTTTATTATTATCTAGAAATATCAATTATTATCAGAATAATAACTAAAATGTAACGTAAAAGCAAAAACTATTTACATTTTCAATAAAAATTGATACAAAAAATGAGTGAATAAATGAATAAATAAATAAATAAATATTCTAAAAAAATGCAAAAAAGATCACTGTTATTAATTGAAATAAAAGAAGATTTAATGTTTAAGTAAAAGAAATTGTGAAAAACAAAACAAAAGTTATACATTTAGTATTAAGATTACTGTCAAGTCAAATACAATGATCAAATTCATTCGAAAAAAAAACTATTTATACAATTTAAAACCAGTCAATCAACACAACAAACAATCAATTAAACAGTCAACACATCAATCAAGATACCAAATCAACCATTGAACCAATCAAAAGTGTGGTAGGCAGACTTTACCAGCAAATAATTCAGAAACAACGGTTATCCAGAGAGCAAGAACAAAGAATATATAAGCAATTCCAACATGAAAACTTGGAGGTAACTGAAAAATCTCCCCACCTATTTGGTCCATGTAGAAACTGATCGGAAAGATGATGGCTGCCAGACAAAACATAACCACTGTAATTTTTAATTAGTGAATGATAAATTAGTGAAGAAATTAATACATAATTAATAAAAGTAAAAAATTAAAATTATAAAAAACATTATTACAAAAACTAACTCGCAACAAAGCCAAACCACCGAGCATACTTCATAACATTGAATCTCCAGCATGAGATTATCAAAAAACATATGGTGATGGTTATGCAAATGATGCCACCTGAAATTAAGACAAATGTGATCACTAATTCAGGTTGTATGTTGTCAGGGGTAAAACATTCCATTTGTCGATTGTAGATTATGATGCAGGTCTGTAGTAGGCCAATGTATATGTTGCCTGTTTTTAAGGGTTTACTGTTTAGTTAGTTTGATTTAAACTTTAATTTATTAATAATAAATTTGACTAAATAATTATAAATGACCGATGAAAAATAAAATACAATTAAATTGGAAAGCCTAATATACAACTTACAAATTAATTCGGTTATAATATCTAAAAAATTAAATTACAAATTAGAAAAAAGTAGTAGGATAGAGCAAAAATAAAATACGAACCACTATTTGCAGAAATGATCCAGTATGGCATACAGAGACTCGTGATTGCAAAAACGTCGGCAGCCAAGAATAAAGCCGCTGAAATAACGCTTAATTTGTCCATTTTTATTAACAAAGTTATCCAAAATTAAGAATCTAACTAAATAAATAGTTGCTTAAACTTGTGAGAATGAACTCAGCTCCCAGCTACAACAAGCAACTCATACATTATGCATGGAGAGATTGTGAAAAAAAAGATCGTAATGGCTTCTTGCATGTACCTATTCAGTCATGGAAGCACAACATAGTATAGAAAGTACAAGTGGAACTCACTCAATGTTTTCTCAATATCTTGGGCTAACCCCTGGGCTGACTCTCCAGACCTTTGTGATGTTTCTTGGCCGTAAATCCTCAGTATTCGCTTCTCGGAAGATTATCGTAATACACTCGCAGACCGCGTGTAGAATTCTCCGTGAACTTTTTCTCGGACGTCATCGCTAAGTTGCATGCAGTTCACACACAAAACCTCTCTGCTATAGTAGAACTTTTTTTGCCCGAACCTTCTCCTGATCTTTTCTTAATTCTCGTTAAAAAACAGGCTCAGTCACAAATTTAGTTTGTCATATCAGACGCTCAAACTTTATTGACAGCATTTATAAAATTCCCTAAAAACACGCTCAATCACAAGTTTAGTTTTTGTCATAAAAGACGCTCAAACCTCACCGACTTTTAAAACTTATCGACTTATTGGCGCCATAAAATAACTCCGTAAATAAAAGTTAGGTTCAGTCAGGTATAGTTTTTGTCTTATCCATGGATATATTATATATATCCATGGTCTTATCAGACGCTTAAACCCTATCCACTTACCGAGAGCTTATATTAAATTCCCTAAAAAAAGACACGCTCAGACACAAGTTTAGTTTGTTATATCTGACGGTTGTTTGTTTGTTAAAATGAATTTTATAAAAAAGTTACGCCTAGTCACAAGCTTAGTTTTTGTTTCTTATGAGACGCTCAAACCTTATCGACCTTTTTGTCATATCTGACGGTCAACACTTATCGACTTACTGGCGCCTTAAAATAAATTTCAAAAAAAGTAACGCTCAGTCACAAGTTTAGTTTTTGTCTTTTCAGACGCTCAAACTCTATCGACTTACCGAGAGCTTATATAAAATTCCCTGAAAAAAAACACGCTCAGTCACAAGTTTAATTTGTCATATCTGACGCTCAGAACATATCGACTTAACCGGCGTCTTAAAATAAATTTCGAAAAAGTTACGCTCAGTCACAAGTTTAGTTTTTGTGTCTTATCAGACGCTCAAACCTTATCGACTTACCGAGAGCTTATATAAAATTCCCTGAAAAAAAACACGCTCAGTCACAAGTTTAATTTGTCATATCTGACGCTCAGAACATATCGACTTACTGGCGCCTTAAAACAAAATTTTGAAAAAGTTACGCTCAGTCACAAGTTTAGTTTTTGTGTCTTATCAGACGCTCAAACCTTATCGACTTCCCGAGAGCTTATATAAAATTCCTTAAAAAAACACGCTCAGTCACAAGTTTAGTTTGTCATATCTGACGGTCAAAACTTATCGACTTAACCGGCGCCTTAAAATAAATTTCGTAAAAAAGTTACGCTCAGTCACAAGTTTTTGTTGTTTAGTTTTTGTTTTATATCAGACGCTCAAAACTTATCGACTTACCGAGAGCTTATATAAAATTCCTTAAAAAAACACGCTCAGTCACAAGTTTAGTTTCTCATGTCTGACGGTCAAAACTTATCGACTTATTGGCGCCTTAATATAAATTTCAAAAAAAGTTACACTCAGTCACAAGTTTAGTTTTTGTGTCTTATCAGAGGCTCAAAACTTATCGGCTTACCGAGAGCTTATATAAAATTCCTTAAAAAAACACGCTCAGTAACAAGTTTAATTTTTCATATCTGACGGTCAAAACTTATCGACTTATTGGCGCCTTAAAATAAATTTCGAAAAAGTTACGTTCAGTCACAAGTTTAGTTTTTGTATCTTATCTGACGCTCAAAACTTATCGACTTACCGAGAGCTTATATAAAATTCCCTAAAAAAAAACCGCTCAGTCACAAGTTTAATTTTTCATATCTGACGGTCAAAACTTATCGACTTACTGGCGCCTTAAAACAAAATTTTGAAAAAAGTTACGCTCAGTCACAAGTTTTTGTTGTTTACTTTTTGTTTCTTATCTGACGCTCAAAACTTATCGACTTACCGAGAGCTTATATAAAATTCCTTAAAAAAACACGCTCAGTCACAAGTTTAGTTTGTCATATCTGACGATCGAAACTTATCGACTTATTGGCGCCTTAATATAAATTTCAAAAAAGTTACACTCAGTCACAAGTTTAGTTTTTGTGTCTTATCAGACGCTCAAACTCTATCGACTTCCCGAGAGCTTATATAAAATTCCTTAAAAAAAAAACGCTCAGTCACAAGTTTAGTTTGTCATATCTGACGGTCAAAACTTATCGACTTAACCGGCGCCTTAAAATAATTTTCGTAAAAAAGTTACGCTCAGTCACAAGTTTTTGTTGTTTAGTTTTTGTTTTATATCAGACGCTCAAAACTTATCGACTTACCGAGAGCTTATATAAAATTCCTTAAAAAAACACGCTCAGTCACAAGTTTAGTTTGTCATATCTGACGGTCAAAACTTATCGACTTATTGGCGCCTTAATATAAATTTCAAAAAAAGTTACACTCAGTCACAAGTTTAGTTTTTGTGTCTTATCAGACGCTCAAAACTTATCGGCTTACCGAGAGCTTATATAAAATTCCTTAAAAAAACACGCTCAGTCACAAGTTTAATTTTTCATATCTGACGGTCAAAAATTATCGACTTACTGGCGCCTTAAAACAAAATTTTGAAAAAGTTACGCTCAGTCACAAGTTTTTGTTGTTTACTTTTTGTTTCTTATCTGACGCTCAAAACTTATCGACTTACCGAGAGCTTATATAAAATTCCTTAAAAAAACACGCTCAGTCACAAGTTTAGTTTGTCATATCTGACGGTCGAAACTTATCGACTTATTGGCGCCTTAATATAAATTTCAAAAAAAGTTACACTCAGTCACAAGTTTAGTTTTTGTGTCTTATCAGACGCTCAAAATTTATCGGCTTGCCGAGAGCTTATATAAAATTCCTTAAAAAAACACGCTCAGTCACAAGTTTAGTTTGTCATATCTGACGGTCGAAACTTATCGACTTATTGGCGCCTTAATATAAATTTCAAAAAAAGTTACACTCAGTCACAAGTTTAGTTTTTGTGTCTTATCAGACGCTCAAAACTTATCGGCTTACCGAGAGCTTATATAAAATTCCTTAAAAAAACACGCTCAGTCACAAGTTTAATTTTTCATATCTGACGGTCAAAACTTATCGACTTATTGGCGCCTTAAAATAAATTTCGAAAAAGTTACGTTCAGTCACAAGTTTAGTTTTTGTATCTTATCTGACGGTCAAAACTTATCGACTTATTGGCGCCTTAAAATAAATTTCAAAAAAATTAACGCTCAGTCACAAGTTTAGTTTTTGTGTCTTATCAGACGCTCAAACTCTATCGACTTACCGAGAGCTTATATAAAATTCCCTGAAAAAAAACACGCTCAGTCACAAGTTTAATTTGTCATATCTGACGCTCAGAACATATCGACTTAACCCGCGCCTTAAAATAAATTTCAAAAAAATTAACGCTCAGTCACAAGTTTAGTTTTTGTGTCTTATCAGACGCTCAAACTCTATCGACTTACCGAGAGCTTATATAAAATTCCCTGAAAAAAAACACTCTCAGTCACAAGTTTAATCTGTCATATCTGACGCTCAGAACATATCGACTTAACCGGCGCCTTAAAATAAATTTCGAAAAAGTTACGCTCAGTCACAAGTTTAGTTTTTGTGTCTTATCAGACGCTCAAACCTTATCGACTTACCGAGAGCTTATATAAAATTCCCTAAAAAAACCCACTCAGTCACAAGTTTAGTTTGTCATATCTGACGGTCAAAACTTATCGACTTATTGGCGCCTTAAAATAAATTACGAAAAAGTTACGTTCAGTCACAAGTTTAGTTTTTGTGTCTTATCTGACGGTCAAAACTTATCGACTTACCGAGTGCTTATATAAAATTCCTTAAAAAAACCCGCTCAGTCACAAGTTTAGTTTGTCATATCTGACGGTCAAAACTTATCGACTTACTGGCGCCTTAAAATAAATTTCAAAAAAATTAACGCTCAGTCACAAGTTTAGTTTTTGTCTTATCAGACGCTCAAACTCTATCGACTTACCGAGAGCTTATGTGAAATTCCCTGAAAAAAACCCGCTCAGTCACAAGTTTAATTTGTCGTATCTGACGCTCAGAACATATCTACTTACCGAAAGTTAGTAAAAGTTACACTCAGTCACAAGTTTAGTTTTTGTCTTTTCAGACGCTCAAACTCTATCGACTTACCGAGAGCTTATATAAAATTCCCTGAAAAAAACACGCTCAGTCAGAAGCTTAGTTTTTGTGTCTTATGAGAGGCTCAAACCTTATCGACTTACCGAGAGCTTATATAAAATTCCCTAAAAAAACACGCTCAGTTTTTGTGTTATATCTGACGCTTAAATCTTACTGACTTATAAATGTATTATAAGATGTAATAAATTTCTTTAAATACACGCTCAGTCACAAGTTAGTTTTGTGTCATTATAGACGCTCAAAACTTATCCACCTAAATCGCCTGATAAAATGTCTTAAAACGCTGTCAGTCAATGATCAGCGTTCAACATGCAAATTTCATCGACTTAATATTTCAGGGGCCATTCAAAAATTATGTCACGCTGGGGGGATTGGGTTTGTCTAGCGTGACAGTGTGTGAGGGGAGAAGAGGGGTTAACCTTATGCTCGCAGTATAAACAAAATGATTGATAAACCAAAGTTATATTTTGATTTGTATGGGGCATTTAAGTTAGGATTCATTCAAATTTAAGTGCACAGTCTCTGCAGTCAGATACAAATTTCCCGAACATGTGGCATAGAACAAACTGTAAAACGTACAAGACCAGCCAGGTTATCTACAGAGACAGAGAGTGAGAGAGAGTGTGAGAGAGAGTGTGAGAGAGAGTGAGAGAGAGAGAGCAAACATGAACTGGATCGTTACCAGACATTTTTATTCTGATTTAAAACTATAGGTCGTAGAATGGGGAGTTGGTCGGGTGTGACAATTATTTAATGGCTTTTTACAATGAAATTCCTTATCAAAAACTCTCAGTCAAATTCGACACTAAATAAATAATTGATCTTACCGTGGCTTGGAAACTTTCAGTCTCACAATCAGATTAACGAGCATCCAATTAACCTTTATTAACTTTCAAGGAGTGTACTGGAGATTATTATGGAGACAAGCACATTGATGAATACAATCAAATTGAAACTGTCACAAGAAACATACAAATACAAAAAATAAATACAGATAAATATAAATAAAAGCAATAAATAAAAATTTAATAGCAGCTAAAAGTTGTGCAATTCACATTTTAAGCATTTATACATCTAAATCTAAATTTAGACATACCTATGAAGCATAAAAATACCTAAAAGAAATAACTGTGAAATAAATGCTACTTATACAAACTTCAACACACTATTTTAATGATAATGCATTTTATCTTGCAAAATATTATTTCGGAACATTCAAACAACCGAGACATTCCTTAGAAACAACAAAAGTAAAAATCAGTATCCCGCCTTAATAATAGTGCTTCTCAGTTTAAATTTAAGATTCAATTATTAAACAAAGAAGGATTTTTTGTAAACACTGCTTTTACAAAGTTATTAACTCCAATAACTTTAATTCTGATTTTCTAAAAAATAGAAAAAATTTCTCAACGTAATGATTACGCTTCTTAACTTGGAAATTTTAACTTAATATTTAATAAGCTCTCAGCAACCTAGCTAATTACATATAAACTTCTACAAAATAAAACGTATTAAAACAATAAAATTAGAAAACCTTTCTTGATTTCTAGTTAAAGATGTAAAATATCTTGTAAAAATCTTCTCTTTGGAAGAAAAACTAATGCTTCTTGCGACGGATTAACGAATAAAATGTTCACGTTGGCCGCACTTTTGAATGTTTGAAAACGCGGAGCAATCGCGATAGCTATTAGCTACTAGAGCTACCTCACAGGTAACACAAGAATCGGAGATGTCCCGAAAGTTATTTAAAACTTTTTTATGTAATGTATAGCAAATTTTTACTATATTTTAAAACCACAAAATTACTTTTTTTGTGCAGCGTACTACGCATTTGAACATTTTTATTTCTATTTTTAGTTGGACAATTTTCGGCTTCAAATAAAATTTTTGAATTTAACAAAATTTGATTTTTCAACCAAGTTGAATGATTTATTGTAAAATTTTTTCAAGTTATACAATTTAAATAAATTTATTTTTTTAAATTGTTAAATTATTTTAATATAAATCCATTTTTGAAAAGTTTATTGAGTTTATTGTGTAGAATGATAGAGGACGATACTCATTACTGTTTTAAATTTGTTCTATCTCGCGTTCACTTTTAAAATTCAAATATGTGAACTAAATTCGCGAGATGGAGTTCGCATTTTTGGATCAAACTTCATTTATTTTTTTAAATTTCAATAATTAGTTATTTGAAATTGACCATAATTTTACACATTTTTTCAAAAGTTGAGTTTTCTCAAGATGTCGTCAAGTACGGATGCAATGGCTGACTATAACAAACTTCTATTTTATTTTTTCCATTTTATTATTTATTAATTGTTTTATTAAATTTTAATCATTACTTTAAAATTTATCAAAAAATTGTTTAAATCAAATGCTCAATTGTGAACTTTTCCATATCTATAATATCATAATTGAAATTGATGCATTACCTTAATAATTAAAAAATTTTACTTTAAAATTTATCAAAAAATTGTTTAAATCAAATGCTCAATTGTGAACTTTTCCATATCTATAATATCATAATTGAAATTGATGCATTACCTTAATAATTAAAAAAAAAAATTTATTTAGGAGACAGTACAAAAAACCATATTACTGCCAACAACAACCCAGCCAACACTAGAAATGCCAAAAATATAGTGCATCACCATTATAAAGAAGATAGCAAAACCATTAAAAACAACAATAATAATAATAATGATAGAATTTGTAATGAAAGTGGCTATAAAAATGTTGATGTTAATGAATATGTTCCTTACTATTGCAATGAATGCAGTAGTTCATTCAGCTGCCTAATTTCTCTACAGAATCATCTAGAATCTAAACATTTCCCATCAAATAATGATAGGATTAATAGTAGTAATAATAATAACAACATGAATAATAAACTAAAGTGTACCCAATGTTTCAAAAAATTTAGAAATATATTTAGCCTAAAAACTCATGGTCGAAAATATCATGGGATGTATAGTAGGCAGTCAATGCATTGTTTTGATAGTAACTGCAATTTCCTTTGCTCCAAGCTAAGTCAGTACATCAGCCATCTGAATGATAAACATGAAATGAACGTTAATTTTGAGCTTCTGTGGTTCTCAAATGAGAAGGAGTTTTCTGATTGGTTGATAAAAATAGAACAAGAAACTCCGTGCAATTTTCTGAAAGATAAAGAGATAATAAACAGTGATGTCCTGAAAACTTCATATTATTATTGCAGTCGATCTGGTAAATATAGATCAAACTCTTTCAAATCAAAGAAACGACAAACTAAAAGCCAAGGGACGTGCAAAATTCACAATACATGCCCAGCCCACTTCATCAAATACCTAAAAAAGGATGATGGTTCAATAACCATTCGATATGTCTCGACACATCTCTGTTTTTCAAATCGTTTTCAGCAGTTAGGACATATTAGACTATCAAAATTCGACAAAAAATGGGTTCTAGATAGGTTGATTAAAAATTTTCCTTTTTCAAAGATATTAAACGAGGCCAGACTGGCTGCCAGAGACACTGCTGTCACTGACAGGCGGCATCTTCTAACTATTCAAGATATACATAACATTGCAAGGGTTATTTTTTTATCTTATTATCACAATTATGTTGTATCTATATCATAATTTTATCATAATTTTCTCCTGAATTTCAATTGTCATTGTAATTAATTAGATTATAGTTGATGGCATATTTAATGTAATATATAATTCTTAATACTAAATATAAAATATGGCACAGGCAAACAAAATAAAGACATTGAGGAAGAAATATTCTCATAAAAAAAACGAGCCAGCTTCATACACGTCACCAGATGGGTCCCAGCCAACGTTGGATCTTTTGCTAGCTGCCTATAAAAACTCATCATCAGTCACTAATTCCCTAATCCAGAAAATTGTCAACGAATCTAAAATATTACTGTATAAGCAGCAAAACAGTCAAAATTTTGACATTATAGATGATAAGTTGATGAAGTCATTATCCTCTCCAGTTGTAGGGATGTGTTGCAATAATAATGATGACTTCATTTTTGCCTGCCTCATTTTGTCTAACAACACTCTGATAGAAGATTTCGAAGCCTTCAATTATATTTACATTGATCAAACTCCTATTAATATTACGATCAATGAAGATGATGCTAGTGATGCTGCTAACAACAACAACAACAGCAATATTAATAATGATAATTATATAGGCCAAAACACAGCAATTACGTTAGCGCCATTAGAATCAAGATTTTGCATAACAACACTAGCTGCATCTAAGCAAGGCAGTAGGTTCATACCATTTGCATTCATGCTGTCTAGGGAGGAAGATGACGCTATAATTGAGTTATTTTTTCGCGCTATACACGCCAATCTCGGACGTTTAAAATGTAGTTTCTTTGTTGGGGGTTTATTCTCTGAGGTGTGCTATCGAATTTGGACTGATGTTTTTTCAGACAGGCCCAAGCGTATTTTTTGCCGGATTTTATTGGAGCAAGACTTGAAGAATTGTTTGAAGAGTTTGATAAAAGGTAATAAAAATGTCGGTCAGAGTGCTTACCAAAAATTAAAAAAGTTGATGCTAGATGATGCTGATGATGACGATGGCGGGGATAAAATACAATACGTCACTAAACTTAATCAGTTGTTCAGTGAATTAGGATTGAGTTGTGAAACTTCACAATTGGCCGATCATTTTCATAAACGCTTCCTACCTTACGTGCAGAAATGGACTAGATTTTTCAACAAATCATCACCAGCCACATTATCTACGCCAGTATCGACATCATCACCATCGCTACTTCCACCATCCTCATCATCATCGTTCCTAACTTCATCATCATCATCATCGTCGTCGTTCAGCGCAGTTAACCGTGAAGTTAATTCCACTCAGATCAGGCAGTTTTTTAATACATTTTTGATTGAGAAGAACCTCTCCGTCGATAGCGCCATCTGGATGGTTTTGACAGCCATACACTCACACAAGTATGACCACCTGACAGCTATTTGCAAGGGCAAAACTCAAGATAATAACTCAGAAATCGAACGCATCCACGACGAAATGACGTCATTGAACCCGAATTCCATCTTACTTACTAAAGACGATGATCATTGGTTTGTCAGGTCTGAAAATCCTGATTTTCATTTTTACGAAGTTACGAGGTCAGTTAACAGGTGTCACTGCCAGGTGAAATGTGGACGATGCCAGGTTTGCATTCACAATTTTGCGTGCACCTGTCACATCCCTGACTCAGAAAATGACGTCAGACAGATGTGCAAACACATACACCTGCTTTGCAGTCAACAAAAAAGCAAAAGTAGCTTAATAGAAAGGTTAAAACTTAACTCTAAAAAATTCACCGGAAATGAATCAAACCAACCGCAAAATTCGTATTTAAATGTCTGCAAATCATTGGAGGGATTGAAACACGCCTGCAATGGTTGCCAAAGTAGCGAAATTTTAGAGATGATCAATCAGTCGGTCAACTCAATGATTCAAGTTGCTAAGAATTGCACCGGAAAATATTTGAAGCAGGAACCTTTGAATAATGCAAGTGGCCAAAGAGGAACGATTAAACGTGAAGTTAAATTGGCGACGGCAAATGAACTTAATAAAAAATTTGTAATTTTTCCTAATCGAAAAAATTTCAGCCGTAGCAGCAGCGGCGGCTGTAGCAGCAATGAAAATTATGGTAATAATGAAAATGACGACAATGAGAGCGTTGATCTAGGCATAGTAAATTTATTTAATCATCTAAAAAGTTACTCTAAAAATTCTACTGCTACTAAGTCTGGTGCAGCTACTACTAGTACTACTTCTTCTGAAAGTATTGTAGTATTATCGGATTATAGTAGTAATAGTAATAATAATAGTGTTTTAATTAATAATAATAATATTGATCATAATTCTTTGATGAATCACAATGAAGATTTAAATCTTCGAAATAAGTTGATAGAGTTAGAGAAAGAGAAAATTAAAGATGGTGGTGTGAAGGTTGTTCTAAGTCAACAACAACAACTACTTTTACCTCAACTATCTCGGCAGGAGCATTTGCAGCAACTTCTGCGACTTCAACAAGGTCACGAGCAGCTGCAGCAACTTCTGCAACTTCAACAACATCATGAGCAGCAACAACAAAAACAACAAAATCATCCTCATCGATTAAGCAATCAGTACATCTTTCAAACGCAAAATACGTTCTTAAATAACCACCACCACCAACAACAACAACATCAACAACAACAATTATTATTACCGTTATTAAATCTACAACCAACAACGTTTGATAGTGTCTTTAATGCTACTGGCACACATTCTCTACCGACAACAACCAAACCACAGTTTATTTTGTTGTACCCAGCTGATGGCAACAATAACAGCAACAACAGAATTGTCATCAGCAACAACAACAACATTAACAACAACGTCACCAACAATAACAATGATATAACCAACCTATAATAACCAAAGAATTATTATTCGAGTTACCTTTGATTTAGTTTCAGAGTAAAAAATAAATTATAACTCTGATATGTGCAATAATATTTTTTATGCCGTTTTTGAATTACTATTTTGCTTTTGATGATTGTGCCACTGTTTAGCTGATTTTTAACTTTTGAATTAAATAAACTTGAAAATATTAAGTTTTAGGGGTCTGTATATCGTTGTGCTGTTATAAAGTTAAGTGACTGGGTCAATAAATGGTGTGGCGAAATTCAGTGCTGGACATTTTGTATCCTATACAGTACATCTCTCTTTTATTTAAATTAACATTTAAACGCTCGACCAATTTGAAATTGCTTGCCGTGTTAATGTTACTAATATTTTAAAAACGTTTTAAAAAATTTATTTAATAAATTAAAAATTCACTAAACGATTTTCGGATACATTAATTTTAATTTTTAAAATTAAAAATATGTTTGGAACGCGATCGAGATCTTTCATTTCGAACACCTCCATCACCAGAACTCCAACTGCTGCTGATGCCAGTTCTCGCGTTCTCGCTGCTTCCACCAATGTTTCAAATCTTCGGAGAAAAAGCGCCATCTATGCAGTTAAAAAGTCCAAATCATTTTTGACACCAAGGTTAGTGATTTTTTGATACATTGAAATTTTTTCTAATTTTTAAAAATTTTTAAAGTTTATTAATTTAATAATTTAATTCAATTGAGATTAGACTTAGAGCTCTAATAATAATAAATGCAAATAAATAATTATTATACATTAAAATTTTTTTCATTAATTAATATTTCTTAATAAAATAATTTTTTATAAAAAAATTAGTCGTGGGGACAAGAGTATTCTAAATGCGACAACATCAGAATTTCCACTGTCTATGAATGAGATTAGTGCACCTAATTATCAATTGTCTGAGTACAACGGCTTCATTCCTATCACTGTAGTCAACTCACTTCATGCTAATGGTAAGCTAAGCTGGCCATATTTTCTTTTTATATAAATTATTATCGTTGTAATTTTTATTATATACATAAAAATAGCAAAATTAATTATTTAAAAATATATAAATTTAACAAAGCTTCAATCACTTGTCTATTGGATGATGGCTTAGCCTACTCGATTGATAATGAATCAAGAAAAATCGTCCTTTGGGATATTAATAGCAAAGTTGGTTGGCTGATTGATTAGTTGGTTGGTTGGCTGGCTGGCTTGTTGATTCTAATTAATATAAATTTTTTCAGACTGAATCCTTTCAGGAATTAATTCTTCCCCAAGTAAAATCACTAATCGAGAGTCAAAAAATTGATGGCTACAGACTGGCTGCCATCTTGAAAAATGGCTTCTCTCAATCCGTTTCCTGTCTGGTACTGGCCTCAAATGGATATTTATGCTTTTGGGGCGATGTTTCTTATGCACAGTCTCTGGTTACAATGACGATATCTTCTGAAAGGGGTTTGCTGGACTGCTGTGTTTCTGTTGTCAGCATTTCGAATGGCTTCATTGTTGGTTGGAAGTCTGGTTTGCTCACCTATTTGCTGCTTGATCAGGTCAGTTGGTTGCCTGATTGATTGGTTGATTGACTGATTGATTGGTTAGTTGGTTGGTTGACTGGTTGGTTGATTGATTGGTTGATTGATTGATCAATTGGTTGATACTGATGATAATAATTTTATTATCATAATTTGCATAATATAAATTTCCCTGCAAGGGTCACCTGAAAGCATCAACCATGAGAGGTCAGCAAGGTAGATTGAATAGGATTGGTCGACGAGTTACATCAATTATTTTTGGCTCGGCCAATAGCGAATCAACTCCTCAGGGTGGCAGCCAATCACAGGCTGGCTAGATTGAATTATAATAATTTCATTGTTGTGGCTGATGTTAATGATGATAGAAAATATTTACAGCAGTACTGATGATGATTGCGATGAAAATTATGATGATGATTTAATAAAAATATAATTATAATAAAATAATTATAGTTATAATTGTTTTTTACGTACCAGTCGTTAAAGAAATTATTAGCCGGTAAAAAAGACCAACAGAGAGAGGATTGTAAATATTTCAGCCAAGAATTGTACGTCCTATTAAATTGGGCGCTACAAAAATGGGTTGTTTCCGCTGATAGTGATAAGGTTGATGATGATGACGTTGATGATGATGATGGAGATGGTGGTGGTGGTGACGATTGCAGTGTTGGTGATTATTGAGTGTTGATTCAGGTTTTTTATTGTTACATAATATTTTCATTTGTCTATTAATTCATCTATTCATTCATTCATTCATTTTTCATACATTCATTCATTTTTCATACATTCACTCATTCATTCATTTTTCATACATTCATTCATTCATTCATTTTTCATACATTCATTCATCCATCCATTTTTCATCCATTCATTCATTCACTCGTTCACTCATTCAGATGTGTTACAGCATTAACTTACAGAATATTATAACGAATAATTTGGTCAGTATTATTATTATTATTATTATTATTATTATTATTTATGATATTTTATTATTATTCTTTTTTTTCGAATTTTTTTTCTATTAAAAACGGTTCTTTAAAAAAGTATCGAAAAATACTTAAAAATTGATTAAAATAACGCGCGACGCTAACTTGATGTAAGTGGAAGCATTTTACAATTAAGCCTCCTATCAAGGTCTGTTCAGTTAAGGAGTCTCGGACGACCGTTCAAATATTTTTTTTTTTGGCGAATTTATTCCTCAATTTTTATTTTTCTCAGATTGAGTTGTTGGGGATTGAAAGTTTTAAACTTACGCTGCATGATATTCAACTGGCAAGGTTGGCTGGTTGGTTGGTTGATTGGTTGGTTGATTGATTGATTAGTTGATTGATTGATTGATTGATTGATTGATTGATTGATTGATTGATTGATTGATTGATTGATTGATTGATTGATTGATTGATTGATTGATTGATTGATTGATTGGTTGGTTGGTTGGTTGGTTGGTTGGTTGGTTGGTTGGTTGGTTGATTAATTGATTGATTGATTCATTCATTCATTTCATTCTTCACCCAGAGACGGTCTAATGGTATTGTTTTCAGTTTTGAAAGATGACGACAATGATGATGAAAATAATAATGATAATAACAGAAAGGCCAAATTTGGAGTCGGTTAGTATATCTTTCTCTCTCACATTTTCTCTCTCTCTTTTTTTCTCCTCTATTTCCCAATTATGATAATTTATTCATTTCATGTTAATATCTCTGGCAGCCTACTTGAATACCAAATCAAATGAGGAGCCTTCCAATATATCAAAGATCGTCGTCTCTGAATACGAAAGCGTCGGTCTATTTTTGTTATTATTTATTATTATTGTTATTATGATTGTTATTATTATTATTGTCAATAACATCATCAGAGTAACCAGTTGAGAGATAGGATAAAGTTGTTGTGGCCGAATATCAACCAGCATGTCTTTGGCTACTTCTATAGTCCAATTAATATCGTCTGTTTCAAAGGTGAATGATTTAATGAATGAATGAATGAATGAATAGATGGATTGATGAATGGGTGAGTGAGTGAGTGAATGAATGAATGAATGAATGAGTGAATTGAAAAAAGTGAATGAATAGATGAACGGAGGAAATTGATTAATGCTATTAGTTACTTTTGTATTATGTATATTTATTATTTTTAGATTCATTCATTCGTTCGTTTTCCGATTCTTTCATTCACTCACTCTTTCATTCATTTATTTTTTCATTCGTCCGTGCGTGCATTCCTTCATTTAGACAATGAGGATGGCTCATCTACAGCCGAGTCGGTACTCTTCGAAACTGTTGCATCAGGTTCATTGCGTTTCATTACTCTACTCATTAATTAATTAATTGGTCTTTTAACTTATTCACTCATTGTTATTCATTTTTTTACTCATGCATATTAATTAGACGAATTATAATTTTATAGGCTGCTACCAGGGTAGGCCATTGTTTTTGACCTATCATGGCTCTTTGGTCACTGTCGAAGATGCCGTTGCTGTAGCCAATCAGAGGTTGCCAGGATGATGATGATGATGATGACGATGATGATAGTAATAATGGTACTGATGATGACGATGATGATGATAGTAATTATGATGATGATAATGATGGTGTTATTTTCAGTATCGCCGAGTCTTTGATGAAAAGTAAAGCCTTCTGCAATCTTGATGTTAGTAGTAATAGTAGTTGTAGTAGTAGTAGTAGTAGTAGTAGTAGCAGTGGTAGTAGTATGAGTTGATAATAATGTTAATAATAATAATAATATAATAGTAGCATGCTAATTATATGCCCAGACTTCGATCGTAGGCTCCGCCTCCCTCGATCAGATCAGCCAATTGTATTCCAGCGATGACCTACTGAGCAAGTTCAAGGCCATATTTATAAATAGCATGATCTCCAATAATAGTGTCAGTAGGGGTGATGATGATGATGGTGGTGGTGATGGTAGTATTAATGATGATGATCATGATGATGATGGTAACAATTATTAATAATAAGCAATAATAATACTTAATAATTGTTCATATTAATTAATAAATTATTAATAATAATAACATCATCAAGCAGTTAAACAACACAAAGATAACTTCTGAGACAATCCTCTCGCAATTATTCCCCGACTGCAAGACTGTCCCCAAAAAAAGACAGCAAATAAGAGAGCTCGTCGTCGAGTTGAGTCTTCAGATGATTGACGATTTTCCCAAATCTGATCCAAGATGGCGCGAGAATATGTCCAATGTTAATGGTAATTATGGCAAAATTATGATTAATGGTGGTAATAATTAATAATAATTATGACAATATTATTAATAATATCATTTATTTGTGTTTGATGGTGATAATTATTAATAATAACTATATTATAATTATAAATATAATATATATAATATAATAATTATTTTTTTTATAATTATTAATTTCGGTTGTAGATGTCACTAAGTTGTCGAGTGGCTCGGTTATATTAGGGAATCAACTGCACGACAAAATGGTCGGACACCAATCCTTCATTAAGTTTCTAAAAACTTCAGGATTGTGGAGTTTGGTTGGTTGGTTGCAATTGATTGATTGATTGTTTGGTTTGTTAATTGAGTGATTGATTGATTGAATGATGGGTTAATTTGTTGGCTGGCTGGTTATGGATAAATTATTTAATAAATTCGCCTTAGTCATAAAAATTGAATCGTCCTTCTTTCTTTCTTCCTTTCATTCATTTATTTGTTCATTCATTCATTTTAGCTGTCCAAAGATGATGATGATGATAACGCCACAGATGATGATGATGATGGTGATGTTATGAATGATGATGACGACGACGACGATGATGATGATAGTGCCAGATCTGTACTGCTGGAACATGCGCAAAAACTGGTATTCATAATTACCCTGAGGGAGTTACACGTTACGTTAGTGACGACGATGATGATGATAGTACTTGTTTGACGATGATGATGATAGTAGTTGTTTGATGATGATAATGATGGTAGTAGTTGTTTGATGATGGTGGTGGTGGTGGTGGTGGTGATAATAGTTGTTTGATGATGATGATGATGATGATGATGATAGTAGTTGTCATCACCATCATCGTCGTCATCATCATCATCATTACCAGGACCAATGACGTCATAGATCAGGCCATAGATATATGCCTGACCAATCGCAGAGGTCAAAGAAGTTCGAAAAGTTTCACTCTGACTCCTGTCGACTTGTTCTATAGGGAGGTACGTACGTGCGTATTCATTCATTCATTCATTCATTCATTCATTCATTCATTCACTCATTCATTCATCCATTCACTCATTCATCCACTCATTCATTTGCAGGTTTCGAAGGTTCATGAAATCTTCAAAGCAATCACGATGGCAGAGGATGAATTCGTCAAGTCATCGGGTGCGGAGGATGGCGGCAATGAGCAGTGCCTGAATTTCGTCGATACGGCCACTAATATCTTCAAAGTTTGGCGCTATACAATTTATCTTTTGTGATCGATTTGTTGCTCGATTGGCTGGTTGGTTGGTTAGTTAGTGGATTGATTGATTGAATGAATGAATGATTGAATGAATGAATTATTGAATGAATGAATGAATGAATGAATGAACGAACGAATGAATGAATGAATGATTGAATGAACGAATGAATGATTGATTGAATGATCGATTTTTTCCAATCAGACGTTACTAGAGAAAGTGTTTCAAATGAGTAGTAACAGCAGCAGCAGCAGTAGGAAAGCCACGGACGGCACCACCATCGCTACAGCCACCACAAACAAAATATTTGGTAGCAGCAGTAACAGTATTAGTAATAGTAGTAATAAAAAAAAGAATAATAAAAAGTTAAAGATTCCTTGGACCGCAGGTGACGATATTGTTGGACCGCTGCTGAAACATGTGAGCTGATGTTGTTCGTTACGAATTTCGTTCGTTCTTTCACTCCTTCATCATTCATTTATCCATTCATTCATCCATTCATTCATCTATTCATTCATCCATTCATTCATCTATTCATTCATCCATCCATTCATTCATCTATTCATTCATCCATTCATTCATCCAATCATTCATTTATTTGCTACAAAGTTGTACCTAACTGTACCGTTGTAAACTTTGTGGCTAAATATAGAAACATTACAAAACTTTCTATTTATAGCACGCCATAATAGCCAGTCAACTCTTGCCACGATTCAACATGGCAGATAGCCTAGACAACTCAAAGAATTTAATATTCCAAGATTTACTAATTGTCACTGACCTAATTCTAAGCAGCCTGGCTACTTTTATTGATCTTTGGAAAGAAAATGGCGCTGGAGTCGGCCAGCAGAGGGAAAGATCACGAATAGATGAGATGCTGTTGAATTATGAGAGGATGAGATCTGATTTGCTGCTGCCCTTTGGTGGGTTTTTCCAAGTTGATCTATTTTCGATTGGTTGATTGACTGATTGGTTGATTGATTGATTGATTGACTAACTGACTGACTGATTGATTGATTGATTGATTGATTGATTGACTGATTGATTGATTGATTGATTGATTGATTGATTGATTGATTGATTGATTGATTGATTGATTGATTGACTGATTGATTGATTGATTGATTGATTGATTGATTGATTGATTGATTAAAAACGAAAATAATTGTTTAGACTACTCATCTTAATCAAACCAGTTGAATATGAGCAGTACGAGCGAGCGATGTCATTGGCTGAGAAATATTATGACCACGCCCTTCTCGTCAAGATCTGCGATCTGATTGGTGATGACGTCAGGCTGGATGAGTACATGGAGAGATTTGCCGATCAGGTGATGAATCAGTGGATTGACTGATGGACAGATGAATAATTAGATTGATTTAATGGGCAATGAATCGTTGAATGAGTGGATGTTTGATCGATCGATTGATTGGATGGATGAATTGATGAATGAATGAAGGAATGAATGAATGAACAGATGATTGAGTAAGAAAAAAATTATTATTATTATTGTTGTTGTTGTTGTTATTATTATAATTATTGTTCTCAGGGTTTTCCAGAAGCTGCATTCAAATGGTTTTGTGAAACAGGTGGTTTTATTCAGAAATATTTTTTTTACCATCATCTGTTATAATTATATTATAATATTAATAATATAATAATGATAATAATATGATGATGATGATGATAACAATGAATTACAGGTAAAAAGAGTAAATTATTCGGGGAGAGCATGCTTTCGAACCCGAGACTGAAGCCATTCATGGACGAACCGGAGAATAAACATTTTAGCTGGGTCTACTATGCGAAAATAAAAAATTACGAGAGGGTGGGTGGTGATGATGTTGATAATAATAATAATAATGATGATGATGATGATGATGATGGTGATGTTTTTGTTGGTGTGATATCATAGGAGCCTTATAGTTCAATGTATTACACTGCTGTGAACATTCAATGGATGACAAGCAAATTTTATGATACAACAATAATAATAATAATAATAATGATAGTATCAATCAATCAATCAATCAATATACTAATTAGCATAATTTATTAATTTACTCATCTTAGGCCCATGAATTAACATTTGAACTGGCCTGCCAGGAGAAAGATAATGTAGCCAAGAAAAAGGTAGTCTACATATTACTACTACTAATAATAATTATAGCAATAATGTTAATTAATTAATGTTCGTTCATTTATTCATTCATTCATTCGTTCATTCATTCATTCATTTTTTCGTACCATTTTTAGACTTTGTTCAGTTTTGCGAAGTTATATGCAACTCTGATTCTCGGAAATCCAAAGACTCCAAATAAGGATGATGATATCGCTGATGATGATGATGATGACGACGACGACGAAGGCGATGATGATTATGGTGTTTCAAGCAAAAAAGAATTGAAAAATAGATTATTGGGTTATTTATTCATTCGGTCATTCATTCATACATAATTCATTTTTATGATGATTGATATAAGATTGTTCATAATAATTATAGTCCAAATATTAACAAGCGAATATGTTAATTAGGTCATTTGCATATTAATTAGTCTGTTAATTATGCATTTTTCTCGACACAGTAATCGAGAACAACCTGGATCTTATACTTCACCAGGAACAACTGTTTGAAAATAATTTCGTCAAAGAGGTTGCTTATGAATATGCAAATTAGATCATTTGCATATTTTGTTGATGATGATGTCGATGTTGATAATGATGATGATTATTATTATTTTACCATGATAATGATGGTGCAACGATTGAAGCGTACCATCATCATCGCTATTATCATCACTATCACCATCAAAAACATCATCATCATCACCACCACCACCGTAAACATCATTATCAGTACTTATCGCTGGATGGCTGCCAGGATGTCATCAGAGTTTACAGCCCGGTCGATTTAATAGAAGTGAGATTCTGATGACGATGATGATAATGATGATATTTTTGATGATGATGATGATGATGACGATAATGCTAATGATATTTTTGATGGTGATGATGATGATGTGGTGATGTTTGCTCTGCACTTCCTATTCATCTTTCAACATCACCAATGATACTGACAGTCAGCGCCACCATCATCATCATCGCTTTCATCATTTTACTTACCATTTAAACATAAACATAATAACAATAATAATAATAATAATAATAACAACAGTAATAATAATAATAACAACAACAACAACAATAATAATAATAATCATCATCATCACCAGTTACTCGTAAGCAGTAGGAATGTGGAAGCGGACGAGTTTGATTTCAAGAAGGCGTTGGATCTGTTGAAATATTGCTCGAACGTTTGTTTATTATCATTATTATTATTATTATTGTTGTTGTTGTTGTTATTATTATTATTGTTATTATTGTTGTTGTTGTCAGGACGATCCGGATAGGAGGAAAGATGATATCATGGTTGATATATGGAGCAAGGCTATATTGAAAAATAGGTCGGCTGGTTGATTTGCTGATTAATTAGTTGATTGATTGATTGATTGATTGATTGATTGATTGATTGATTGATTGATTGATTGATTGGTTGGTTGGTTGGTTGGTTGACTGATTGGTTGATTGATTGATTAATTGATTAATTGATTAATTGATTGACTGATTGGTCATCGTGATCACAATCATCGTAATAATCACCACCATAATCCCCATCATCATCACCATCGCATGCAGGCTGGCCAATAGAAGAGCTCCTACCAACTTCAGAGGAATTACTCTCTCAGACTAACACGCGATTGGCCGATCTCTCGACCAATCCTGAGTTCCGTTGTAAAGTAATGATGGCCTATGAATACATCGGGAAATATTATGCCGGCGGGAATATTCTTACAGAAATTTCGTGAAATGATTTGTAATAATAATAATAATAATAATAACAATTTCTATCATTATTATTTTATTATTATTATTGATTTTATTGATTTGGTAAGTGGTCTGCCATGAGGTAAGATGTTCTTACTGAAAGACATCTCTACTACTACTACTCAATTACATCTGACCCATTCATAGCTTTAATAATAACACTATCATTATTGTTGTTATTATTAGTGTTATTATTATTATTAGTGTTATTATTTTGGATAATTTATGTAGCGCAATTTAATAGAACCCGATGCGACGATATTTAGAAAGCAAGGAATTATTGAAACGACAAAATTTATTTAACGATGAAAAAAAATATATATAGATACATATTGCAATCAGCGATTAGAAAACTTGAGAAGAAATAGATAGATAGATAGATAGATAGATAGATAGATAGATAGATAGATAGATAGATAGATAGATAGATAGATATACGATAGATATACGATAGATACAGAGAAAGAATATGAATTAGAGAAAGAAAGATATTTGAAATATTATTTTCAAAATGAGCGCAGATTGGTTGAATGATTGATTGATTGATTGATAGAAAGATAATGATATATAGAGATAGATTGAGAGTGAGAAGAAGAGAGAATATGAGAGAGAGAGAAAGATATTTAAAATGTTTTTTGTCTAAAAATAAGCACATGTATTCTATAAAATAAGTCAAAATGACATTTAAAAGATGGATCGATGAAAAATGAATGAACGGATGGATGAATGAATGAAAGAACGAATAAAAATTTATAAATTAAGTAGAAATGACAAAAAATTACAATAAAGGTTTATTTATCTATATGCACCAATTAAAACGAATTATGCCCAAAAATTAACTAATCAAATTAAAAATATATACGTGTGTGTGTGCGTATATATGTTAGTATGTATATATATATGATAGTGTGTGTGTATTGGTGTGTGTGTGTGTTTGTTTTATAACGCACTTATACAAGATTCAATGGTAAATACATTTCTAGGTACTTTATAACGAGCTAATATCAATGTTTCAAAGTTATGACGACGAAGAATATGATGATGATTTATAAATAAACAAAGATTATATATATAAACAAAAATTATATATATATAAACAAAGATATGAAACTAACTATTTCGTTGTATACTATTTCAATGATTGTATCTAGTTACGTTAGCTTGGCTGTTTGTTGACTGGCGGGCAATTAAAAATCGCGCGCTATACAAATGATGCATAATTATGTGTTGCTATAGTTGTTGTTGTTGTTTATGTCTAATAAGCATTAGGAACGAGGTGAGGTTTTAGAAACTGCTTAACTTTTTGAAACGTCCTACCTACAACTCAACAGGGAAGGGGTGCAGGCGGCTGTGCAAATAATCTGCAACACAATCCTACAACCAACTACAATGGCACTAACAACAACAAGAAAAAGAATAATAACAATAATAATAACAACAATAATAATAATAACAACTCTGATTTCTCAACCATCATAACAGCTTGCAATCAGCACAGAATCCGCCATTTATATTGCATCTGACGAAACTAATTAATAAAGGTAATGATAATGATGACGGTGGCGATGATGATGATGATGGCGGTTGGTGGGTGGCGATGATGATAATGATGATGACGATGGTTGGTGGTGATGATGATGATCAGTATTTTTCCGAAAGAAACCGGCAAGATGAAATGTACTAATACCATTAAGTATAATATCAATAATAAACAACAACAACAATAATAAAAATAATAATAACGATAATAATATAAAATAAAAATTATAATTATAATTATAAGATCAATTATTATGATGTGACGACTATGATGTTATGATCTAATGTATGAGAATAGGTGCAGTTGTTATCAATTGTAATAGTATACAAAGTAGTGAGTGAATGAATGAATGAATGAATGAATTAGTGAATGAATGGGTGAATGAATGACTAAATTACGAGAAATGATTGAAAGAAGAAAGTGGATCGGCAACAATGAATGAAAGCCAAAAATGACTGAGCGAAAGAAGAAATTAATGAATGACTAAAACAACAATAATACCAAAAGGTCATTATTATTATTATTATTATTATTATTATTATTATTATTTTATTATTATTATTATTATTATTATTCAAGCAAGAGATATATCGGCAAAAGAACGCTTATAATACTATCAATAATAATAAAAATAATATTTAATAATAATATTAATAATTAATAATAATATCTGCAATAATAGCAATAGAAATTCAATTAAAAGCCTTAAAAATATCAAAATAAAACTCAATAGTATAACATAAATGCTATATATATATATATATATATATATATATATATATATATATACATATACATATTCTATATATACATATACTATATATATATATGTATGTTGGAAGGATATATATATATATATATATATATATATATATATATATATATCAAATTCTATATAAAACCATTAAAAATGAACTAATAAATAGCCGGTAAAGTTCAATAAATAACTAAATAAACACAAATATATAAAATATAAATTAATTAAATAACGTGGGTCTACATACATTAGCATAAATTTGCATAAATTAACATTAAATTAGCATACATTCATGAATATAGGTTATATCTAATTCATTTATCTTGTTTTGTACTGTATAACTTTCTTTCCTTCGATTCTGTTTCTCTCTCTCTCTCTCTTCTCTCTCTCTCTCTCTCTTTTATGAATACATCGTTGTCTGGACGAACTGTTGATGATGATGATAATTGATGAATAAATGGATGAATGAGTGAATGAATGAATTAATGAATGAATCAATGAATTGGTAGCATATGGAAAGATGCATATACAAAGTAATATATGGAAAGTTAAAAAGATGTTGGTGATTATGATGATGAAGGTGGTGATGATGGCGATGATGATGATGATATTGATGATGATGGTGGTGATGATGATGATGATGGTGATAATGACGATGATGGATTTTTGATAACTTACCGAATCCAACGTGAAAACGGCTGTCCCATCTTCTTTACGCATCTCAGAGTAAATATCTGGAAGGTAAAAAGTGATTTCATTCACTCGTTCATTCATTCGTTCATTCATTCATTCATTTATTCATTGATTGATTCATTCATTCATTCCCTCATTTACTCATTCACTCACCAAACAGAGTACTGAGACGGGCTATCATATGGATATAATCATCAAAATATATCTTCCCATCCTTATGGCTGTAACGCATCACCAGAGCGTTGAACGTCTGATTGCTGACCGTCACTCCTGATAATGATGATGGTGATGACGATGGTGTTGATGATGATGATTGTGACAGTAGCGGTGGTAATGAAGATGTTGGTGATGGCGATGAATGTGGTAGTGGTGATGATGAAAATGATGATGATGATGACCGTGCTTACCGTTCTTGACTTCTTTTTTATCACCATCACTACCACCATCGTCATCATCATTGCCACCATCATCATCATTGCCACCACCATTATCATCATCATTGCCACCACTACCACCATCATCATCATCATTATTGCCACCACCATCATCATCAACAGCAGCAGCAGCAGCAGCAGCAGTAGCAGCTGCATTACCGATTTCATTGAGAGCCCTCCTTAGTTCGTAACTATTGAAATTTCCGCTTTTATCGTCGTCGTGGTTTTTAAAGGA